AATTTGTACAACAGCTCACGTATATATACNAGTTCTCATCGAGTCGGAGTCCAGGGGCATAACGCCTATCCTCGAGAATATCGGGGTCATGGTTCGGGACCGGTCCTAACTTTGAATAACTTTGAAGGACGTTGTCAAGTAATCAAGCACGGCCAACAGAAGGCCGTGATATCCGTCATCAGCCGAGTATCACGGCGGAGATCTCGGCATGTATCGATAGGAACCGACAATCAGTTAATTAGATGATTTTTACCTTTTATAAGAATTGTACCAAAGTGAGACTCTCCTACTATATAAAGAGTGTCTGATGATTCATAATACACGTTGTATCACGCATTCCAAGGTAATATATTATTATTTTTCTCTGTTATTAGCTCTCTTCTTGTTCATTAGTGTTGGCTACAGTGAGCCCGGATCGAGGGTGAACATCTCACTAAAGCTGAAACTATCCGCGTGGTTTGAATTTATTTTTATCTTTACTTGTTCAATCTAATTCAATTTATTGCTTTGTGTCAAATTAATCCGCATATCCTTAAAATCACTTACAAATCCAATTGTTATCCGATTTTGAGGGTAAACACTCATCTAATTTGAAACGGAGAAGTAACTATTAATGGGTAATTTTTGGAAGCAAGTATAGCTTTCGAAGAGAGAGATGAATAACGAGTAATTATCATGGAGATTTAAGTTATATATAGTGTAATTTTTTTTAAAAAAAAAAATCAATTAATCTTGATATGTACTTGTAAGTAAATTATCATTTTATTACATTTCCAGCATAATTATTAAAAAGTATATTCGTAATTACCTAATAAATAACACAATTGTGTAAGTAATTTTTAACCCACTGTCAGTAGCAATTGACTTAAAGATCTTATCATAAAAGTTTGGCTTTGTGAATGCAACAAGCCGCTTGGTGTTAAAAAAAAAAAAAAAAGGAATCACACAGTAAAAAGTAATGTTATATATAGTAGTCATATACTCCCTCTCAGGGGCAGAACTACGTACTAAATTTAGGTGCTTCAGCACCCATTAAACTTTACACAACATAGATATAGTCATATAAGAAATTTAAGGCATCTGATATAAAAGGAAAAGAAAACACCTACCAACAAAAAAATTAAGTAGTTACTACACATCAAGAAAAATTAAGCACCCACGAACATAAAATTCTGGATCCGCCACTGCCTCTGTCTCAAATTATCTGTCGTGACTTCTAAAAATAATTGTCTCAAATTATTCGTCATTTTATAAGTTTAATACACAATTAATTATTTTTTCTCATTTTACCCTTAGTAATAATTGTTCTAGCAGATGGAGATAATACATAAATAGAATAACTATTCAATGAAGATAGAGAATATATTAAAATACTAGTTAGGAATAACTGGTCTTCGTTGGCACTTGCAAGGAATCCAAGATTTATCCCCTTGGTGCATACTAGTTGGCACTTGAATGCTGCACTTGAAGTAACCGAAAACCAGTAGATTTTAAAGTTTCTGCTGTGCAGATTGAAGGTCTTGGTGCTTTGGATAATGCAGCTGCTACAAGGGTTGAGGCAGTGATTAAAGATGTTGAAAAGGCAGAAGGTGTTATATCTACTGGTGAGGTTTTAAAATCTGGTGCACAAGAATGTGGTGATGCTTTGGATAATACAGCTACTACAGGTGCAAAGGCAGTGAATAAAGAGGATATGTGCCCTCAAAATCCTGCAAATGTTCAGGTCAATGTTGGGGTACAAACAACTTTTTTGAATGCTGCAACTAATAATTTGGAAGGACATGAACATGCTTCAACTTCCTCCAATGAAGATGGACTTAATAAGAACACAACTGGGAATGATTGGACTGTGGTAAGGGAAGCTTTTACCAAGTAGAACACACCTACAGGTGCGAAGACACAGCAACAAAAGACGAGGGGTTCAGGTGATCGACGAAATGCTCTACAAACTGTCGCCAGTCCAAACACATTTGAAATCCTAGCAAATGAGGAGGGTGTTGATATAAACTCATCAACTCTAAATGATCCTAAATTGTTGCAACAAATAATTTCAGCTACTACCTGTGACAACCACAAGCGAGGCAGTGTGTTTTCTTCTAAGGAATTGAGTGTTCGATGTAATGCTTCGGAGAACAATTTAGTTGGAATTTCAAGCCTAAACTAAAACCCCACAAACAATTAACAGAAAACACAAATGAAATAGACAAAATAAAGGTCCAAAAAAGTACTTAAATATCTACAAATCTAAAGGAAAAAACTTGCCATCAATAAAAAGTCTTATCTTAAAGAACCCACAAACAATTAATCACAAGAAAACCAACGAAATATACTTACTCAGAACCCAAATTAGACTATTCAACCCAAGAAAAAAAAGCACAAAGTAAGCAGATAAATAAAGGTCCAAAATAGTACATATCAATAAATCTACAGTTACCCAGAAGCCAAATTAGTGTAAACGAAAACCCAAATTAACGAAGCATACCCAAAAATTAAACAAAATAAAATTACTTCTTTTTAGCCCAAGAATCTGAAATTATAAAAAGTTCAAAGCTTTGAGTATAAAAGAAAGATTGTACAGAGATACCCAGATATTGTACACAATAAAAGATTATTTTTTCATCTCCATTAGTAAGAAACTAGAAAAATTGAATCTTAAAGTATAAGAGCAAAACTAAAAATTGAAAAAAATAGAAAAGTTTTGAGCAAAGAAATACTTACCAATAGAGAAAGGGATGGAGATTTGCAATATATGGGTGAGAGTAATTTGAAGACACATGCAACCGAGAATTGAAAGGAATGAATTAGGTTAAGGAGGCAATTAAGGTGAAGCTGCAGTGAGAGAAAAAAATGGGGAATGGACAATGATATTGTACTGGGGGAGGGGGGAATATTTTCATTAATTCTAATATTTGGGGGGAAATTTTGAGTGAAATTTTATATAAGAAAATTTTAGACTTTTGCCTATAGGTTCCTAACTGAACGTCTTTAGCCTTATTAGAATTGGGGGAAATATTTTATAAAGTGCAATTTTGGTGGGAAATTTTTTGGGAAATATTTTATAAAGAATTTTTAGGGTAAGCTTGTAAAGTGTTGTATTTAATATGATAATATAACAACTCTTTAAAAACGTTTTAGATTTAGGCAACACTTAAAAAATGTTGTCTTTATATTTAAAAGAAACGCTTTATAAGTGTTACCTTAAAAGCTGTGACCGAAGACTATACTCAAAGGTCACGCCTAAAAAGTGTTCCTACAGATACATTTGACAACACTTTTTAAGCGTTGCCTAAATTAGTGTGGCTGTAGGCATAAAATGTTGCAGTGTTCGGACAGAACTTTAAATACAATTAAAATCGAAAAAAAAAAAATATTGCACAGCTGATTAAGCTCATATATATGGTGCTTTGCATGAGTTATTCTGTCGGTCGTTATTTAACAATTAATTGTGTTGGAAAACATTTCAAGTGTATATATTGTTTCCATTGATGGTTTTCTTGTATGGACAGTCATTTGATTTATTAGCGGATAAGGTAAGAAATCTTGCATATAATTACTAATGATCAGAAAAGGATATTCATTGATTTGATGGGTTAGATAAGGATTACACCTATTACACCGAACAAGAGAATGATATTTTACAAGTTGCATTTATATACTCTCATGTACCACATTAAAAAGATAAATCAAAGTATTGGATTCAACCCGCCCATAATAGATATTGTTTGTTTTGGACATCTTATATATTTCGAATCTTCTCACTAAATAATGTGTTACTTTATTCGCACATCGAACACAAATAATATAATTAGTTCTAATGACTAAGTTAATCACATTAATTACTTCAGGAAACCAAACAAGTAAATGTTGCTCTTCATGTGGCAATTAAAGTATTTTAAAAGCCCTCGTCCATGTTATTGCTTCTAAATGCGTCCTTTTAAATATATTTCTGTTTATTAGTAAGATACTTCTTTATAAATGATGTAACTTGGCCGTGAGATAATCGGGTTATTGCAACTCACACACAAGCTACTATAATATAAAGTATAACAATCAATCAATATATATATATATATTATAAAAATATTTTTAATGGAGTTTTGGCTATTGAAACTTTTTCTTATTATAAAAACGGACAAGGTCCGAAAGCAATAAATTTTAAGTAGATTTTTTGTCTTCGGATACTGAATCGCATACTTCCTTTTAATAAAAAGTAGTAATTAATAAACTAATAATTATCAAGTAATTGTCATCGAGATAAAATAATCATTCATGTTATAATTAATCATCACGTGTTCGATATTTTTGTTTCGATTAAGCAGTTAAATTTGTTAATACTTATGCCGTTAATTAATAGATATTGACAATTGACATTATCCTCTACCATAAAATAGTACTCCTAGTAGATGGAATTACCAAAACTGGACAAGAAATTTGGATGACCACTTTGTGCGTATTATTAAGGGTAATAAACGATAGTTATTGTTGAAGAAATTCAACCCAAAAAAAGAAAAAGTGAAAATATAACTCCCGTCAGAAATTTCTTCCTTTCTGGCATGAATTGTTTCTCACGCTCCTTGAAAGAGTTGAAACAAAAGGAGTAAACCAAACCCTTATTTTCTGAAAAGCTACCAGACAGAAAATGACAAAATACATGAAAGAAATGTTAAAAATTGGATAAACTATTAAGATGAAAAAAGGAGAAAAAACATTAACCAAATGAAAGAGAATTTGTCACAGTACTAACTTGATGAATAATTGTAAATTAACTGTAAAATTAATTAGTATATTTTTTTTTTAACTCAACCAAACCTCTGTAATTCTAGTTTAAGGCATAGGACATAAAGGTAATTTTAGGCATAGGGAGTTTTAAGGATCACATCGTCTATCCCTTTAACTGAAAACGACTGCAAGCAACCTGTGGTCTACCTGTATATATATCCCTCTCACATTAATAATATATTCATTAATTTTTCTTCTGAATATCCAATAAATCAAATAACAAAATAAAGTACTCCATTATTTTATATAACCATGTCTCTCTCTATATAAATGAGATATGACGCGCAAACACCGACTCAAAACGTTTTGTTCTGGTTTTTTAGGCTTTTAGTTGTTTCTCTGCAGTTGCTCTTTTGTCTCCAAAACACAGAAAAAATACTAAAAGTTGATAAAGAACAGAGAGAAAATGGTGGATCTTAAGAAAGTTTGCTCCATGTGCGGCGACGTCGGCTTCCCGGAAAAGCTCTTCCGCTGCTGCAAGTGCCACCACCGCTACCAGCACTCGTATGCTCCGCCACCCCTCCCTACACACACACACACACACTCATACATCATGTCGATGATGATTTTCTTAATTAGAATTGCTTTACCCATCGTTGAAATTAATTTTTTTTAGTTTAGATTTTTGTTTTTCTTTCTTGGCATTAACTTTCTTGGGAAACTTTAGTCCACAGATTGGTTTGCTTTTATAGTCTTTTTGACTGATTTTCTGTCCGTATTCTCTTTGTTTTGCCTTTTTCTTGTTTGTGGCAAACCAAACATGACATTAGTCCACCGCCACCATGCGCTATTTGAGGGAACACACATATATCCTACCCAGACTTTCAATACTTCATAATTCGGAAATTTTAGTTTGTGATCATATAACGATGATTAGGCCTTGTTATATTAATTACTTCACCTTTATGTTAGATACTATATTGTTATTTAGAAATCTTCTTGTCTTCTCAGAAATTTAGTCGTACCTTCTATTTTTTACTTTTATTTTGTATGATAATAGTATGAGATCATGAGTCATAATTATTGATGTTAGTATGTCATGATTAGTACTTAATTGTGATATTCCGTGTACTTGCAAATACTGTTTTTTTTTTTTAAATATTTGTTTTAATGTATGTGTAAATATCATACAGGTATTGTAGCAACTTCTACAGTGAATTATCAGAGCCAGTTCAGGTATGTGACTGGTGTCAAAGTGAGGGAAGAAGCAGCTCGAGGCGTGGAAATTCGTCTAAGAAATCAGCGGCGGGTAGTAATTCAGGAGTAGGCATAAGCAGCAGATCAGAATATCCAGGTGATAAAATTAAACAACAGCATGATCATAGGGAAGAAGGAACTCATGATCAAAAGCCAAAGAATAATCACGGCGGAGCACCGTCTCCTCGTACGTCCACTCGCAGGTACAAGCTTCTTAAGGATGTCATGTGTTGAAGAAATTCACTAAAGGAAAGAGAGAAGCTTAATTCTCAGGTGGTTAATCATGTTAATATTATGGATAATTGTATGTTTTTTTTTTATTTTAGTTTACTCTTTTGACCGGTAAGAGTTTTCTGCCCTATATGTCCTAGCTGAATAAGTTTGTTAAAACACAATGGAGCTCTATATACAAATTAGTAGTAGATGATAATCATGCGATAATATGGGTTTTTCCATATGCCTTCTCTTATAAGTATATTATATCTTTCTTGTCTTTTTCTTTTGCGTAATATCTTTTCTTGATACTTAATTAATTCCCTATCTTCATTATAAGGAAGTTCATGCAAGAAATATATATTACCACTTTTGTTTTTCCAACGGAAGAGATTAATCTTAGTGACTCCGGATTTAGAATCTAAACTATGTGTATATCATTTAATGCGATTTTACTTTTCTTAATTTTACATGTATATACAAAGTTCGAGTAGAAAATAGTAAGTTTAACCAAGTCCACAAAAACCTAACCGTCACAGTAGGGATTAATACTTTCTTGATATAGTAGGGTTTCTGTGGTAGGGGCTGGACATTTTGTCTATGTCAATTCACAACTTATTTGGGTTAGGGAGTAGAGGGTATAGGCTTAGGGGTGGGGCTAAAGTAGCACTTCCACTTGTGCACTCTATTGCTTGCATAGTTGAGTCTCTTAAGAGGAAAGGAAGGGGAAAAAAGTTGAGTCTCTTAAGGAGAATTGAATGCGCCTTTAATTCCTTATTGCATAAGAATTCATAGTACTTAAAGCTGGTAACTTTTTCCAGGTTCATTGAAGGTATTTATTGAGACCTCTCTTCCCCTTCTCTTTATTATTTATTGGAAATAAACTTAGGAAAAGTAGTAATATTTTAAAAAGTCAATGAACTTGGTAAATTGTACTTCCGCCGATACACAATAAGTGACTATATTTTTTTTTTTTAACTTTTGGTTCAAAATAAATATTCATTTACATAATCAAAAAGAAATTAATTTTATTTTTTCAAAATTTGCCCTTATTTACATATTTCAATGTGTCAAGATAACAATTAATTTAGTCAATACATTTTTTTTCTCGAGGAGTCTTGTGGATGTGTCAAAGATAAAATGAGTATTATACTACATTGTAATCCAGTGGAATTGCTTTGGGAATTTAAGAAGATTGGTATGAATTAAAGTGACGTTTATCTCCTAGCTAATCAAGATTATCTGCTAATTAAGTTTCGCTCTCGAATAAGTACATAGGTGATAAAGCTTTGTCAACTGTTCATCTTTTGTCTTTTTCTGTTGTGTCAGCAAAAAGCTCCCTCGAAGTGAAAGATTGAAGTGTTAGTCAAGCCATGGGACATTACTTCCAACGAACAAATTAAAATCACTCCCAAACTTCTTAATTTTCCTTTTTTTTTCTTCTCATTTTTCTTGTAATGTGGTGTTTGATGAGTCAAATTGAAAGTGCATAATCCGATCGTGCTGCCTATGGAGTAATTACCTCCTACCAATATAACTATTTAGTTCTCTGCCTATCAAATTTTAAGTGCATGATTAAATTATCTCGTATTTTTTGTCTCTATATGGTTGTTCCACACTTCTTTCTTCTTGCTATCCACCATCTCTTGGGTTATTTCTTTAAAGTCTCCGGATCCCCTCCTTGAGTCTTCCCAGTTAAAACGGTTAGATTTTATTTAAATTTATTATTGTATTATTCTTTTATATATGTACACACACATGTTGTAGCTTTAACTTAAAATTACAAGTCCTAAGAGTGAGCAAGACTCACGTTTTTAACCTATTTTCATGGTAAGAAAGGTACGTAACTCAATAGATCACCTATAGATATAAAAGAAGGTTTATATGTTTATATATATATATATGATAAGATAGTACTAGTAGTTGTGTGTGTCCAAGTGCATGTCTTTTCACTTTTCTTGATTTGTAAACTATCGAAATAAGAAGCCACATGGTGGGCTTGCTTGGCTTCACAAATCACAACTTTTAGTTTGAAAGCAACAGTTTCAAGATGAAGTAGAATCAACACTGATTAGAATGCAATATTCTAGTTGCTTCTTCCGTTGGTATCATATTCTTAATTATTATTTAAACAAGAAAACGTACTCTTTACTTATACAAGTAACAGTAAACGAAAGTATTCTGATTTAGCTTTTTTTCCGATGTGCAGATTCTTTTCCCATCGATCCATGCAATGTTGTTTACTAACGTGGTATCTTTGCTCTTTTTAAGCAATGGCTTTTCGTTTGTTCCATTTAGTTTGGCTAATACGTGGCTTTTTGTACGTTTTCTCGATTTTTCTTTTCTTGAAGAGAAACCTAATATGCAAAAGTTTGAATAGTTTAATCAATGTTACATTAAGTACATCGATGTTGACAAACAGGCGTGATTAGGCGGAATAGGGTTGTACACATTCGAATTGCGAGAATGGGGTTATACACATGCAGTAATGTCCATGCATGAGATCTATCTTTTCAGCAACGGTAAAGTTACGTTGTTCTGAGCCGCGGAATCAATTACTAATGCGTGCATCAAGATAGGCTGTGTAAACGTGGAATGCTTCGTGTAATAGACTACCTTTTTTAATGTCCCGGGCTTGTAATTAAAAGGAATACATTTCCAAGACCAAACTGCTCGAAATTGAAAATATGAGCCTCCAACTTTAAAATCTTAAGCAATGAAGCATTTCATGACCTTTTCTGGATGCTCTTATTATATCTCAATGTGAGAGCCGATAGGTACTATACATTTCTAAGATCCTCTTACATGTCACATGTTTATCTGAGCTCGAAAAATATATAGGATTTCTTAAAGCTTTTCACTTTAATATTTTTATCCGTAAGTACTATATAGGTAGAAGTGGCTTGATTGAATATAATGAATCGATCAGAGAAAAAAAGGAATGTAAATTCGGAGTGACTTGACCGACTGAGTTAGAGAGAAAGAAACCGACGTGATAGAATACATATAGAAACAATACACGTACAATCTTTGTGCTATTCCTAGTAAAATAGCACAAAGAATATGAAATTGGCCAAAAATGACTTTTTATAATAGAGCTTTAATGGAGTAATAGTACTACTTTTTTGTAGTTTTCCCTAGTCATTTATACAAAAAGTAACTTTCACAGTTCAACTGACTCTTTTATCATTTTAGTATCATCAACTCAATAAACAGGTCCCCACTCTTCTAACTACATGGCTTATATTAACCCCAATGAAAAGTGTTTTTAACTCTTTATCCATAATACTGTGTGGTGGAAAGCTGTGGATGGTGATATACGACGAAAAAATCTCAGTTTTGAGTTATTCGGGTAGGTAGTGTAAGAAAAATCTACACAATTAACATATAGAGTAATTATAAAAAGAAATTGTAATAAATATTTGTTAGGATCATATGATAAAAATATGTAACTTACTATCACAAATTCAAATTCAAGAAAAGTGCAAAAATTCTATATTCTATCAAATATAACTTTTAATTTTATGCTAGGTTCTTGGTACTTATATGTAACAATCCAACTCACCAGTGATGTTGTTGTATTGGGAAAATCGAGTTTCCATATTAAAGTGATTGGAAGATGACGTGTCATGACACGAAGGCTGGTCAAAGAGTGATGATTGGCAAAGAGACACTAGTTGCAATAGATACGAGCAGAAGGTATAAGTAGAGGCACGAGCAGTTATTCAAAAGACTCAACGCTCGTACCTATTTATACTCAAAAGTCAAGGAGAATGAATTTGACAACATAAGAGAGTACAAATACAGTATTTAATAAGCAGTAAATACTAAAAACGTTATAGAATCTATATTAAATTACAATGATTATGTAACGTAACATTTAATGCCTTTAATCGTCTATAGTGGCCTAATTATAACAAAGGCAAAACGTTTATCTTTAAGATAACTATAAAAAGGAGAGAATGAAACATTTATAAAGACACAAAAGATCATCTGAATATACTGGTTTATTTTGTTTTCTTTTGTCTTTCTTATTGTTAGCAAAATTACTTTTCTTTATTCAGTTTTGATTATCAGTAACCCGTGTTCTTCTAAATTAAAGTTTTGACTGAAATTCCACTTTTTGGTTAAACAAATGTCCGCTTTAATTCCATGCCCGCACAGTTTTAAAATACGTTATTAGGGTCCAAGGCATGTTTACTTATATATCAATATCTCTCGTGCTTTATCGATGAGAGATTGGCCTAGGGTGTCACATACACTCCTTAAGGACTCATCATATTTGCTGAGGTTTACCCCACCACCGTTAGGGTCATACACAAAGTGACTTTCATACCATATATAATAGCCCGATTCAATAATGATATTGTCCACTTTAATCTAGGCCCCACAATTTTAAAATATGTCACTAGCTAAAATCTAAAGCACGATTATTTATATAATATAGTAATAGCATCTCTTCCCTATTTTATGGGGTGAAATTCGCCTAAAATATCACATTATGACATCAATCAACTTTTGGTATCACACTTGGAGTACAGTGCCCAAAATGTCAACTTTGCAGATATTTGTATTCTGGCGAGATTAAAAAGGGAAGAAGATATTTGTCCCGTGTTTACGGCATCATGAGAGCAATTGTTGAGGCTTGAGGGCAACAATGATAGTGACCCCCATTCACTTTTATTGGAGCTTTTTAATTCAATCTTTATTTAATTATTTTAAAAAATCTAGTATTGGTTACAATTACGGCGACGCAATATTCGATGATAACTACGTTTCCCTTGTTTATTTAATTTAAAGTGGGATTTGTAGTTAAGATTCTAAGCATGAGTTTTGAGTTATCTTCATCTTCTTGTCTCGGGAGATGAGAGATCTGCCTATGCACTACAATCAGTCAATCACTACGCAGACATGATAATGTATTCATATTTGCATCAAACAAAGTAAATATATTTTCCATAATTAAGTTAATATTTACTCTCCCTTTAATTTGATAGTTATGCATAAATTATTTGTTTGCTGTAAGTATTTGTGCCTGTTTTTTTCCTTCATATTTTTATATATCCTTATTAAATTAATGTAATTTGATTAAATATGATTGCAAATAAAAAAAATTGAGTTCATCCCGTCATCCTTTTATAGAATTATCTCGTTGAGCTAACCTAAGAGTTCCTTGTGATTTCACGAAACCTTCCACTGTAAGATAGGAATATATAATTGGGAAAATGACGTTATATAGTCACTCTCAAAATTATAATTAAAAAAATATTTTTTTAAATTTTAT